GTGTGTAAGTATATCACCTAAACTACCAAAGAGAAGTCCTCACTATCTCTAAAAATCAAATACATTGACATTAATCAGTTATTTGCAGACAGGAAAATTACTCAGGACAACTTTAAAGAGTCAGAAAATGAAACACTTTCCAGTGATATGGCATATTGGAGTTTGCAAAGCAGTTTTTGTCTATTATTGCATCTAACCCTCAACACAATTTGGAGGCAGCTATTATTACATGCATTTTATAGATGAGGAGACTGAGCCTCAGAGAAGCTCAGTGACCTCAGTAAGTGGCGGACCTAGCTCTAGAATCCAGGTTTATCCAACTCCAAATCCATTACTTTCAAGTTAGCAATTTCCCAGCAGATGGAACCTGGGAATGTGATACACCATGCAGAATTCTGGTATTAAATCCATCATGTTAAAATAAGTAAGAAAAAAATAGTCACTGGCTATTGATTTAAAGTTTCTGGGTGAGCTTGTAAAAAATTTTTTTTGAGGGTTGGACAGTTAGCTCAGTTGTTTAGAGCATGGTGCTGATGACACCAAGATCAAGGATTCGGATCCCCTGATCAGCAAACTGCCAAAAAAATTTTTTTTTTCTGTATGGTATATCAGTCAAGCAGGCCAAATGTAAGGAACACACATCCCTCTCTGCCTTTCTGTATTCTCCCACTGCTGTTGAGAAATGGATGCAAAGTACCATTTTCTACCACAACAAAACTAACGGCATAAGGGCAATGAGAAATGGCAAATCAATACTAAGGAGACAGCAGTTCAAGGTTGAGACTGTGGCAAACTGGAAATATTCACCCCAGTCCAAGGCCCAGACACATGTTACCAGGATGGGAGATGGGCCAGATCTTTCTGAAGAGAAGTCAGAAATAAAAATTTTATGTGAAATCTTCTGATTTTTAAATATTGGTGGTTGTCTTTGTCCATTTGGGGTGCCATCACAAAAATACCATAAATCAGGTAGCTCATCAACAACAGAAATTTATTTCGCACAGTTCTGGAGGCTGGGAAGTCTGAGATCAGGGTGCTTGCAGAATCAGTGTCTGGTGAGGGCCTGCTTTCTGGTTCATACACGGTGCCTTCTCACTGCGTCCTCAGGTGGTGGAAAGGACAAGGAAGCTCTCTGGGGTCTCTTCCATAAGGGCTCTAATCTCATTCATGAGAACTCTGCTCTTATAACCTAATCACCTCCCAAGGGCCACACCTCCTAACACGACCACATTAGTGATTAAGTTTCAACATATGAATTTTGAGGGAACACAAACATTCAGACTACAGCAGTGGTCAATTCAGATGTTTTAGAAAAAGCTGTGTGGGGGACAAGCACAACACAGCTGCAGGCTCCACACCACCTGCAGATCTCTAGTTTGGGATTCCTGCTCAATGCTTATTCTTGTCTGAAGTCCTCAGGGTCTCATAAAGCAAAAGAACAGTCTACATGTTACATTCATGGCTCTCAGACTGGCTGGATTTGGCATCATCCGCACAGCTTTGTAAAAAAACAGATTTAAGGCCTTTCCACTGAAACTCCACGTCCACAGACAGGTGGGAACCACTGGGCATCCTGCAGAGTCTCAAAACTTACCACACCAGAGAATTTGGCATCATCCGCACAGCTTTGTAAAAAAACAGATTTAAGGCCTTTCCACTGAAACTCCATGTCCACAGACAGGTGGGAACCACTGGGCATCCTGCAGAGTCTCAAAACTTACCACACCAGAGTTTGTGCGTAGATCAGTTCTAGAACATTCCTGGCAATGTCAAATTCCTGTAGACCAAGACTTGTAATAAATTGCATTCCAATGATTCTGTGAAAACATACTAAGTTTAGTACCCACACCGTAACTCCCTCCTTCAAAAGATTCCTCACAGACTAGGACAATCACCAAAAGAGACCCTCCCCAGTTTGTAATAAAATCATACATTTCTTTACAAATTTTTAAAAAGTTCCAAGTATGTAATTTGGAGAAATAATTGAGGGAATTGAGGGAAAATGGAAATTACATGATGCAGTCAAGTGGGATACTGCTAAAGTGGTTTAAAAAAATTCTACAGAACATCTGTTACCCTAATTATTTAAATTATCCTACCTATTATTTATACCACTCTTTGCTTATTACACCATTTTTCATGAACCAGATAAACTCAGCACCTCCCAATCCAAGTACTGCTATCAAATTAAGTGTTTCCCTGTTTTGTAAATCCACAAGGGAGAAACCAAAGTCTCCGATTACTCTGGGGAAACTTGAGACCTTACTGATTTCTTCATAAGAAGGAGTTATCAATAAAAAAATTGCTGTCAAAAAATCCTTTTTTACCTTTATGTCCAGGCCCTGGACAGAGGCTGGAATAAAGTGAGTTTTGGCAGAACTGAGTGGGGAAATTTGGCATTCAGTCTCCCCACTGAGGAAAGAATCGGCACTGTGTCATGCCATCTTGTCACCAGAAGAGCTTGCAAAAATACTTAAATGTTTATAAGGAAAAAGATGCTCATCATGTTATTAAAAAAAAAATGAACAAATAAAAAAGAACCACACTTGGCCAATGATGGCCTCAACTCTGTACACCTGCTATCTAAAATAAAAATTAGTACATGGATTAAATTAAATTAAAACAATGAGATAAATCTATAGGTACTGACATGGAAAGATGCTAACGCATAGTGATAAATTCACAAAAGCAAACTCCACAATGATTTTGCAGTGTGATCTCATTTTTGTTTTGGAAAGTTATTTAGTATTGTATAATATACACCACACAGAGCAATGTGTGCATGGAAAAATCTGGAGGAATATACATTAGAATATTAAAATTACCTATAGTGGATAAGATTTCAAATGGTTCAGTGTCTGTGTTTTATTTCTAGAATTTTTTGTCTTAAGAGAAGGTTGTAAAAGTTCAGCTGAACCAAATGAACTATGACAACAGGACTGTCAGGTTAAAGTGAAATTTCAGTTAATTTAGGAGAGAACGACATCCCAAAGGACAATAGGCAAACTTAGAACAAGGCATACTTTGAGTCCGTAAGGAATCTGTCCTTCCCGCTCAGCCAGGAATCAGGTTCTGTTTACAGCAACAGGTACTAATTACTCATGACTGACAAATATTTACCTCCTCAGAAATTCCCCCAGGAAGGAATCAGCTAAAGAGAACACAAAATCCATCAGAAGGAGCCGGTAAATTTCCTGGCCGATGAGGGTTTCCCAGCACTGGAAGGAAAACAAGAGTGAGGTTGTAGGAAAGAGCTGTTTGCTGCTGCAGCTCAGTTCTCATCTGTTCCTGGCTCCATGTACTCAGGACATGGCTGGTGGCTCAAAGTTCCTGTGTACCCAGAAAATCAGACCCACTCTTCATCTGCAAAAAAGCAACCAGGTTTCTTTTCTGGGGCGTGTATTCTCTTTCTGTGCTCCGTCATCCCCCATTACAGCTTGCTCTCTACATGTAACAAAACTTTCCCTTCTCATGATCTCTCCTCTTAAAACTTTTCATCTCTGACCAATATCCTCTGGACCCCATTTCTCAGCCAGGGCTAATCAGTTTCTTCAGTAGAATAGGAGGCATCAATGGCTAAGAATGCCTCCACTCTTTTAGCTTATTGACCTTATGAAAAATCAGTTATTATCTGCTTAATGAAGAAAGTGGTTTAGAGGTTCAGCAAGCTAGTGTGAACTGAAAGTTTGAATTAGTTTATGAAACTGGTGGGAAGTAACCTCTGCAGGAAGTCAAGTGCTATAAGCTCATAGACTGGGAGCTATTAGATTTGGCTGGAAGAGGAGAAGGAAGTTTTGGTTGCACAGCCCAAGGATGGGTAAATGGATGGCTAGATGGACGGATACACGGATGAACAGATGGATAAATGGAGCATGGATGAATGGATGGGAAGTAATGGGGTGGATAGGGAGATAAATGACTGGATGGATGGATGGACAAATGATTGGATGGATGCATGGATGGATGAATAGTTGGATGGATGGAAGAATAACTTAGTGTCTGCTCTAACCAGCCCAACGTGGAAGGCTGGTTTTGAACCTCTTTAATAATTAGGGAGAGAAGCTGAGGGTGCCATGTTCATGTACAATGTTTGAGCCTGGACACAGCAGTGTTATTTTGTGGCTCAAGGACAAAGGATGACAGAGAGTTGGAGAGGCCCCTGCTTCCCTCACTCCACTTCCAATCCCAGGGCATCCCAGGTACCTGAGGGCACAGGAGGGTCATCAGCTAAGGATGACTGTGTGATGTGAAGGCCCATTCTCATGGGGGAGCTAGTCATAGGGGCAGAGGAACCCCAATGAGAAGTCTAGAGAGGGTGGCTTGTTCCTGGATCCACGTGAGACACCACTCTCAGAGTAGGGGTCAGGCACCCATCCTCTGAGACAAGGGAAGACAGAGAAGCTGTCGTCACATGATGGAGAGCCAGGAATCATCAGAGTTAGGACATAATTGTTATGCCAGCACTTACGTGCTTACAGATTGGTAAAGCCAGGATATCACAGGAAAAATGGAACATCATGGATCAAATAGGATCCTGTCCAAAACCCCAAGGCTGTTAGGACAGATTATGTCACAATTACTACCATCTGTTCCATGCCCACCACACGCTGAGCACTGTACTTATACATACATGATATCATTTAATCCCCATTTTACAAATGAAAAAATTGAAGCTTAATAGATTAAGTGATGCTGCAGATGACATAGCTGGTCTTCGAATCAGATCTTCCTGACTCTAGAACTTGAGCTTTTTGTTGAGACCCCTCCTGCCTCACGTCGCCTTCCAGACTGGCTTCTGTTCTCTTCCCACAAGGGATTAGTGCCAAATAGAGGGAGTGATGGCTCTTCAGAAACATCCTCCCTGGTGGTCAAAGGCCACTAAACTTAAGGCAGAACAGCATAGAAATCTCACCTCTTCACCAGACAGGGCTACGATGTTAAGCCAGTAGTAGCAAAGAATTCCAATGATTGATATTTTCAGAAAGATGTTACTAAATAACAGAAGAGAAAACAACTGTCATTACCCTCCATGGCAGTCTTTTGTGCTGTTAACCAATTGGTCACATGGTAGGTTAGAAATTCCTACCCCCCTGGGGTTGGGCGGGGCCACCTGGTTAGTTCTGACAAAAGAATGGAGAGCAGAAGTGATGTGTTTCACGTTGAGTCACTTCCAAGCAGGAGTACTTAATGCCAGTGTGCGACCCTCCAGAATTCACCGTCTTCCTTTTGGAATCTGGTTAGTTCTGACAAAAGAATGGAGAGCAGAAGTGATGTGTTTCACGTTGAGTCACTCCCAAGCAGGAGTACTTAATGCCAGTGTGCGACCCTCCAGAATTCACCGTCTTCCTTTTGGAATGGCACTAAGCAACATTCAACACATTCGCTCCCTGCTCTCTCAGCCTGCATCCTTCCTGCCCATCCACAAAGCACATGTAACATGAGCAAGGAATAAACCTTTGTGCTCTACGCCACTGAGGTTTCAGAGCTTGGTTGTTACTGCAGCATAATCTAGTTTATTCTGACCCATACACTCTCTTTTGTTTCATCTCCAAACATCTGATTTCACTTCCCGTTATAACAATAGTAAATGTACATAATATTCATTGGGTGTTGACCCAGGGTACTTTATTGAATCACCCCTTGTAAGGTAAACACTGGACGTAGACTTATATCCCCCCTTCATTTCACACCAGAGTTCCCCCTCTCCCCTGGGAAACCACCCCTGGCCAAGGTAGTTTACCCAAGGAAAGGCACATCTCCTTTAAGAACAAATGGAAGACCAAGACCATAGGAAGCAGCTGGAGTAAATTAATTAGCATGTAAATGTGGTTTGAACACTAGTGTTAACTACTCTGGTGCCAGGAGGGGTGAACTTGTCTACTCAGCCAGATCTCTTGTGGACTGAGTTGGGTGAGGGTCTACACATAAGCATGCGAGTGATTTACACCTCTCCCTTGATCTGTTCACTATATAACTGTTGTATGTACCCCATGGTGGCACAGATTTCTAGTTGACTGGCTGCCATCAGCACCTCCCATAAGTCTAATAAACCAATGTCTCTACCTATTGCAATATTGGGTGAGTTTCTTTGGAGTACACAAACACCACACGAGTGCCCTTTCAGATTTGGGGCTCCCATGACACACACCTTAATCTTTACAACTCCATCATTAAATAGATGGTATTTAATGCTTATCTTACCCAATATGCAAGGTTGTGGCATAACAATGAGACCTAATATTTCCCCCTCTATACCTAAGAAAGTGGCACCCTGGACCAGTGGGTAGGATGTGGGGGAATAACGAAGGTATAGGGATCACCCATACCCTAAGGTTGGAGTTTTCATAATATGAATTGAATATCATTGACTGACTGACTGATTTGCTCATTCATTCATTGGCCAATTATTCTTGAACACCTATTACGTCCCAGGCACTGGTAACAAGGCGAAGATTCCCCCATAAACTGTGGGGAAGGAAAATAATAAATTTAAAAAATATATATATGTCAGGAAGTGGTAAGAAAACGATAATGCAGGAGAGAAAGGGTGGTGAGGAGCTGTTACTTTTAACAGGTGGCCAGGTAAGAGCTCTCTGAGAGGGCGATGTTTGAGCAGAAGCCAGAATAAAGCCAGGAAGCGAGCCACACGGCTGTCTGTGGGAAGGGTGTTCCAGACAGCAAGAATGGAACAGCCAGTGCAAAGGCTCAGAGGTGGGTCTATAGTCTGATGTGTCTGTGAACACTTAGTAGGTCAGTGAGAGAGAGGGACAGTGGGCAAGAAGGAGAGATGTGGGAAATGAGGCTGGAGAGCCGGCCAGCAGCCAGACCTCAGAGGCCATGTAAAGCCAGGGCTCTGGGCTTGATCAGTAAAGAAGCCCAATCTGCATTGTAGAGACCCATTCTTATAAACACCACCATAACCAGAACAAGTCAAGGAACTAGCCAGGAGAAGCTGTAAGAACAAAATCTGGGTAGTTTTAGGCTTTGTTTATCAACCCCCTGGGTTCAACTTTAGTACTTATGATGTCTTTGTGGGAATCACAAAAAGGTCACCCCTCTGAGCCAATGAATTGCCAAAAGCACTCCCCCACCTCTGTTTGGGTGGCTGAGTTACAAAAATGCACCTCGTCCTCCCGGCCGATGCCAGGACTCACAGTTTAAGGGTAACACTGGTTGATTTCAGTCCCCGCACAACTCCTCAGTCAGGAACATTTGTGCAGTGCACAGCCTGTGCCTCTGGACATCTCATACTTGAAAACTACATTAATCCTCAGGCTAGTAGCAATTGCAAAAGGTAAGCCATTACTTTGAGCAAAAGTCATATGCACTCAGTAACTGTATTTTCTCAGGGCTCTTCAGATTTTACGGCTATGAGCCCACACCGCATGAACACGCTTTCCTCTGGGAATTCCTTCCTTTGGAGAACAGAACTCTGATACTCGAGCATAACCCTTGGAAATGGAGGCTGGCACTGGGTGGGACAGACACACCTACCGGATCAGGACGATGTAGACTTCGTGCCGCGGCGTCTCGTACCTCTCCACCAGCCCGAACATGGAGTAGAAGCGGGGCACGGCCAGGTTGATGCAGGACACGAGGAAAGGCAGTAACAGCACTGCCCCGTGGTTCGGGTGCTTCCTCAGGAACTGCAGGGGATGGAGGAGAGAACTGAGATGCTGAACACACGCTGGACCCCTCTGTACCTCACTCAGAAGACCCACACCATGAGAAAAACCCCAAAAGTAGCTTCTCTGGGGAGGAGCTATTAAGCTATCATTTATTTAGCATTTAGCCTGTGCCATGCTAGCTCGGGCTCAGAGAGGTGAAGACGCTTGCTCAGTGTCACCCAGCAAGGAGGTGGCAGATCTGAACCTAGGTGTGTCTGACTCAGGGACCTGAGATCAGTCATTCTGTGACTTGACTTTCTTTACCAAGATGCCTGGGGCAACGAGGAGCTGCTCCCTCACTGTTGAAGCAAAAACTTGGGTCTACTGGAGCTAAGCACAAGGGTGTTGACCACCTGGAATTTCTCCTGCCCTCTCCTGTGTGGGCTTCATTTTCATCAGGCTTCCCCTGTCCTTGAGTATCAAATTAGGGGGAAGGGGGCACCTCTGCTAGCCCACGCTGCACCTTTGCATGAGGTTGGGAAAGGACCCCTTCCTCCACGGGTCTTAGGGTAAGAGATTTCAGTGGAATTACCTGCTGATTCACCCCTTCCCCCCACCAAGGCCTGACCCTGCCTCCGTCTACCTCTGGATGGTGTGAAACCACCACCCACACTTTTGGCAATATCTTTGGAGCCAGAGTAACCTGGGTTCAAATGCTGCCCCCCACCCCACACTTAAAAAGCTACAAGGTCTAGGGTCAGAAGCTTAGCTTCTCTGAGCCTCTTTTCCCCATCTGCAAAATGGAGAGATGATCACAGAACCTATAGAGACATTGCAAGAATTAAATCTAATAAAGTCAAATCAGATCAAATAAGGCAACGACTGGACCAGGGCTGCTAAACAACACAGCCGGGACACCATTCATGTGGAATTGTAGTCACCAATGAAAGGCAACCACTGGAGTTGTGCAAAAGGTTGACACTGCCTGGCATAGAGCAGATTTCAAACAATGTGAATTATCCCCCCTCTACCTCCTCTCTTCCTTAGCTGCCGCCTCCACTTCAGGTAGGCATGAGAAAACCTTCAATGTGAAAAGGAAACTCAGAAGTCCTCTTCAAACAGCTACCTGGACATGGCTTCCACCCTAGGTAGGCAATGCCAGGCCCCTGAGGGCTGTGACTCGATTTCCCTTCTTTCAAGGCAGACCTTAATATGGCTAATGGCAAACTCTTCAGTTTGTATAATCCTGCACCCATTTTTTTGGCTGGTTTTTCACTCACTTATTCATCCATTGGGTTAAGCACCTACTCTTTGTACTAGATTTAAGGCCAGGGGCCCAGAAGAAACAGATGCATAAACAGGTATTTTCAAAGCTGTGTGTGACGAGCACACAGGAGAAGCCTGCAGAATCTGCAGCACCCAACTCAGCCTAGTGAGGGTGGTGGTGGTGGTCATAAGGGAAGGCTTCATCGAGGAGGTGACATGCATGCTAAGGTCTAGAGGAGGGGAAGGAGTTTGCCCCCTGAAGGGAAGTAGGGGTGGAGAATGGACTGCATGTTTCTCACCTCAAGATGAACAAACACCATTCAGCATTGTTGGTGTAGAATATGGGTGGTTGTGGGGTTTTAAGGCTAGAGATGCAAGGCAGGGGTCAGATCATAAAAGATCTGTTAGCTGCACTGTGGAGGATAGATTTTATTTTGAGTATAATGGGAAGCTATTAGAGAAAATGACACAATCAGACCAACCTGTACCAGAATTCTAGAGGTCAGCAAACTGTACACAATTTTCCAGAGGAGAAAGCTGATACCTACAGAAAAACAATACTTTGCCCAGGCCACCTGCTAATTATTCTCAGAGCTCAAATCATGACATTCCTTTATCACACCTGAGTACCAGCCTGGGTAGACCCTGCACGTAACTTTTCTCTAGTCCTGACCCTACACCTACAAAGGCAAGTAGACAGATGAGGAATCTGGGACTTGGAGAGATTAAATCAATTGCCAGGGCCATCAGTTCACGGTACTTATTGAGTGTTTACTCTGTGCCAGGTGCTGCAGGAGGCATTAAGGATGTAATAATAAGGGGCTGACTGGTTAGCTAAGTTGGTTAGAGCACAGCCTTGTAATACAAAGGTCATGGGTTCAGATCCCTGTACTGGCCAGCTACCAAAAAAAAAAAAAAAAAGATATAATAATAAAGGAAGAAATTAGAACCTGATCCCAGGTCTGCGGCCAAAGTTTCCACCTGTCCACTAGCCCAAAGCTTCTCGTTCTTGCTCTGTGGTGTGCACACCCCACCTGGGGATCTTGTTAAGATACAGATTCTGAGTGCCTGGGCTGGGGAAGGAAGGGATGTTCTGCATTTTCTTAAGCTTCCTTCTGGTGCTGATGCTGGCCACAAATCCCCCTCCCACATCCCAAGCTGGTTCTTTGCTCTGGACCCTGGTGTTCCTGCCTCTCGGGTCACCTCTGAATTGTGCTCAGCCAGATAATAAACAGCTACACAGCAGGCAATGGCCACTCCAGTAGAGACAATCAAGGTTGCCATGTGGGCAGAGAAGCGGGTCAGCTGCTGACTGAACGTCGACTTGGCATTCTCCTGACAGATCTCGGACAGGTTTTCCTAGAAATGCAAGAAAGTCAAGTTGACCCATAGATTCCACCTCCAAGGTTAGCAAAGATCCCCAGGTGAACACTTGCTGCAGCCAGAGGTGCAAACCCAGTCCAGATCCACAGGTGAGAAGGAGGGGAAATAATACCTATAGAAGGCCCATGGGAGAATCTCAAATGGGCCAAGAACCCCCATCACTGCATCAAACATTTCCATCTTAGAGGAACAGATGGGACTGGTAGATTGGAACCATGCTCTTGAGGAAAGTACATTGAGGTCACGGAGTTCTTTCTTGAAGAATAAGTCTGGGTATCCACACTAAGGAAGAAGTTAACATCTGCAACCCTGTGGTCAAAGCCCCATTATTTACAAAGTCTGTGTGCTCTTTCTTTTTAATAAGTTTGTTTCTATAGATGAGGGTTTCTCAACCTCTGCAGTACTGGCATTTGAGGCTGGATAATTCTGTGCTGTGGGAACTGTCCTGTGCATTGCAGGATGTTTAGCAGTATCCCTGGCCTCTACCCACTAGATGCCAGTAGCACACTTCCCCATTGTAACAACCAAAAAAAGTCTTCAGACTTTGCCAAATGTGCCCCTGAGAGGCAAAGTTACTGTGAGTTGAAAACCACTGCCCTAGGATAAAATTTTAAACCTGGAACTGTGGGGTCAAGAAGTGTATACATTTAACATGTTGATATAAATTGCTAAATTGGCCTCCAGTAAGGTTGTAACAATTGCAAAGCCACCATGTCATGTGAAAATGCCCATTTCCCTACAATCATCACCAGCACTAGGCATTATGAATATTTTAAATTTTTTTTGCCAATCTTGTGGGCAATAAAAAAAAATAACTTATCATTACTTTAAGAAAAGTTACAGACATACTGAAGTAGGGAATGAGACTGGCTGCAGGAAGATGTTGTGCAAAGTGAGCTTGTCTTACCCTTATCTCAGTGCTAAGATTCTTCTGTTTTAGCTTCACAGCTCTTTCATGAGTGACAGTGAAGTCCCAGCAAAAGATAAGTTTAGCGATCCCTCTGGAGTAAATGTGGGGGTTAATGAAGTTGTTCCGGAAATACTTTGCCATGCTAGGGAAAGAAGAAACCAAAATACCTGAGGGTTATTTTGACAAGCATCGGGAAGAGTGTGGATTAAACAAAGGACAGTCCTATCATTAATGGTGAAACGTAACATGGAAAAGTTAGCCCCAAGCTCTTTGCCTGGAGCAGCATGATCACAAACATCATGGTTAACAACACTGGCTTTGGAAACAGACAGGCCTGGCTTACAATTCTGGATTTGCCAACTGTGAGATCTTTGTCTTATTTTCTGTTCTGAGCCTCAGTTTCTACATCTGTATAATGGGGATAATAACAGTACCCAACTCACAGAGTTATTATGAAAGTTGTATTAGTTTCCTATTGCTTCTGTAACAAATTACCACAAACTTAGTGGCTTAAAACAACACGAATTTATTATCTTATATTTCCAGAAGTCAGAAGTCAAAAAATGGGTCTTACAGGGCTAAAATCAAGGTGCTGGCAGGGCTGAGTTCCTTCTGGAAGATCTAGGGGAGAATCCATTTCCTTGCCTTTTCCGCCTTGTAGAGGCAGCCCTCATTCCTTGGCCCGTGGCCTCTTCCTCCACCTTCAAAGCCAGCAGAGCAGCATCTTTCCTTTCTCACTTTCTCTCTGATCTCCTACCTCCCTCTTATAATGATGCTTGTGATTCCACAGGACCCACTTGGATAATCCAGGATAATTTTTCCATTTTAAGACCCTTAATTTAATCACATCTGCCAGATCCCTTTTGCCATATAAAGTAACACATTTACAGGTTCTGGGGATTAGGACATGGACATCTTTGGAGGGTGAGGGGGCATTATACAGCCCAAGACAAGAGCCAGTTCACAGCCTAGAGCATAAGCACTCAGTAAAGGCAGCTGCAGCCAGCCGCCCCCCAAAATAAGTAAGTAAATAAATAAATAAAGGCAGCTGTTATTATCATGGGAGCTGTATCAGGCCCAGCAAGCACTTAGCACTGAGGCTGGCATGTAATAAACACTGAGTAAAATGGGCACTGCCTTTCTGGAATTTGCCACCACTCAGTAACAGCAACTTAAGAAAAACGCTAATTAGTTGGAAAGGACAAAATGAGACCTGACTTTAGTGTAAATTACTGTGCTGGCAGTGAGGTTGTTATGGGATGAATTGTATCTCCCCAAATTTCATACATTGAAGTCCTAAACCCCAGTATCTCATAATGTGATTGTATTTGGAGACAGGATCTTTAAAGCGGTAATTAAATTAAAATGAGGTCATTAGTGTGGGTCCTAATCCGATATAAATGGTGTTCTTATAAGAAGAGATCAGGACACAGACACGCACAGAGGGAAGACCACATGAAAACAGAAGGAGAAGATGCCCACCTGCAAGCCAAGGAGAGGCCTCAGGAGAAACCAACCCTGCAGAACCTTGACCTTGAACTTCTGACCTCCAGAACTATGAGAAAATACATTTCTATTGTTTAAGCCACCCAGTCTGTGGTACTTTGCTATGGCAGCCCTAGAAAACTAAGACAGACGTTGGACACTTTTTCACATGCATGTCTTCCATCTGTATCTCCTCTTTGACGACCGTCCATTCCTGTCCTCTTCTGTCCATATAATCACTTGGATCATCACATTCTCATTTTCAGACTGACCAATTTCTTTAAAAGTGCACAAAAACATCATATTTGATGTTGCAGAACAAGGAATGATCAGACAGCCATAGAAAGTCAAAATTGTAGAGAAACTGTTTCCTGGGTAATTTTTGAGTTTCTTGGATTTTGTCAAAATCTAAAATGAACCTCAGAATCAGGAAATGCAGAGACTGTATACCTGAACAGCAAACTGAAAAAGCAGATGACAAAGCTCACTCCAATCGTGAAGATGTAGGCCAGCTGCATGTTGTAGGCGGCTCCACTGCTCCCATGCTGGATGGTGGAATTAGTGTAAAAGCCATAGAACATCACTGTGTCCCTAAAATAATCCTGAAAGGGACAATAAATCCTAAGTCAGGTGCACCTCTCGAGAAAAAGGTGAACGATGACTATGGTCAGCAGAGTTGACCTGTTCTGTCTGCAAGAATCTTCACCAGTCGGACATTTAGTTTGCCAGGAAAGAAATACCTGAGGCCACTGGGAATATAAACATTTTATCACTAGGCTCTCAGAGCTGGAAAGAAATCCCAAACCTACATAACTTTACCACGGAAGGATCCAGCTCTCACCACCTGGACCCAGCGACCAAGCGAGACTTCACTAAGAGCAGGACTGCCAGGCATTATGTATCTCTGTCACCCGTTAGGTGTTATGATCAAACATGTCTAATAGGAAACAAATCAAGGTTTTAGGTCTACATTTCAGTTTTCAGGAAATAAGAAGCCAGAGAAACAAATTAGAGCAACCATGAGAAAATAATCAGACAATTCTAGAAGGTAGGACTCTGGAACCTGTATGACAACTGGCTATGTTTCTGCAACAAGTCAATGTCAAGAAAAAGGGGAGCTGGGGCTGGAGAGCTTATTTTAGATTAATAGAGATTTAAAGGAAAAGAACAGAGTGCAAAGTCTGGTCTTTGATTAAATCCTGGTCTGAACAAACAGGCTATAAAAGACAGTTTGGGGAAAATTGAAATATGATCTGGATTTTAGATGACATTAATTTTTAATTTTATTAGGCGTGATAGTGATATTGTGGCTGCAGGAAAGTCCTTATTTTTCAGAGATACATGCTGAAGAATTTCACAGTGAAATGTCCTGATGTCTATAATTTACTTTAAAATACTTCCAAAAATAATGAGATAAAATAAATATGGCAATTTTAAGTCTACATAGCTGGTATAGGGGTGTTTATTATGCTACTCTTTATTTTTCTATATGTTTAAAATTTTTCATAATAAAATGTTCCCTATATACAAATATACAAAACATACTTAGTAGTGAGAAAAATGTAGGAGAAATTTACACAATAATTCGATACTAATGCATCTACCCAAAGAAAATTTTTAATGAAAAAAGAAAAAAATAGACAAATAGAAGAACCTTATTTTGAACATTCTACTGCAGGTGTTGGCAGATGTTTTCTGTAAAGGGCTAGATAATAAATATTTTTGGTTTTGTAAGTCGTATAGCCCTTTCGACAGCTCCTCAGTTCTGCAGTTGGAGCATGAAAGTAGCATAGACCACAGATAAATGAATGTGTGTGGCCATGTTCCCAAAGAACTTTACTTACAGACACCGAAATGTGAATTTCAGATTTTTTTTTTTTTTTTTTTTGCAGCTGGTGGGTACAGAAATCAGATCCTGAACCTTCGTGTTATCAGCACCATGATCTAATAATCAATTGAGCTAATCTGCCAGCCCTGAGTTTCATATCATTTTCATGTTTCATAAAATGTTATCTTTCTTTGATTCTTTTTCAACCATTTAAAAATATAAAAACAAATTTCAGTTTGCAGGAGGCACAAAAACACGTGGCAAGCTGCGTCTAGCCCTCAGGCTGTATTTTGTCTGTCTCTGCTCTACAGAATCCCAATGGCAGACAGCCTTTCAAGAAGGTAAACTCACAAGCAGGGATTATATGCTTCAGTAGAGAGCTGGGTAAATAAACTACGGTTGCTGTGAGAAAGAATAATTTAGATTTATAAAAATGTCCAAGATATGTAGTGATCAAAAAAAGTTGTTAAACAAGACTTGAACTACAATCCTATCCTCTTCTTATTTTTATGTTTTGGGGGTTTTTTTTTCCTTTTTTTTTTTTGGTGACTGGCTGGTACAGGGATCGGAACCCTTGACCTTGGTGTTATGACACCACGCTCTAGCCAACTGAGCTAATCGGCCAGTCCCTCTTTTTATTTTTAAAGAATGATTATCTCCATACCTATCATCTTTCTATTTGTCTTTCATCTATTTATTCACCTATCAATTAATACATCAATAGATGTTTATATAGGAAGAAAAAACAGTCTACAAAGATTCACCCTGGACTGGGGAGTTAGACGAGGGAAAAAAAGTAAAATGGACTTTCTTTTAGTCCTCTTCTGTGTAGGAATTTTCTAAAAGGACCGTTGTATTTTGTAGAAGTAAAAATTAAAAATAAAGAAAACATAGGTCTATGAACACCAAAAGGAGATGTCAAACCACATATTGTTAGGAGTAGGAATTTTCTAAAAGGACCGTTGTATTTTGTAGAAGTAAAAATTTAAAATAAAGAAAACATAGGTCTATGAACACCAAAAGGAGATGTCAAACCACATATTGTTAGGTGCAAAGAAAACAAGTCATAGACAATAATTCATCTTTTGTAAGAAAGAAAGAAAAGAATGCCTGTGTGCATGAATAGTTGTGTCCACAGATGTGCAAAAAAGATTGTGGACAACACAAACTGTTCCTGGTGGTTACTTCTGGAGACAGAAATTCCATTATGTTGCGTGTTACTTTGGGAGGAAAAAACATTTCAAACACCCATTTTCCCCATCAATTTAACCTGCAGGCAAAATGAGAGGTCTGGGTAGGTCACCAGCAATGTCTGTCCCTCAGTTTCCAAGGTGCTGAACTTGGGTCAGGGAAATGAGGAACTTACCGTCCCAGTTAAAATCTCCCATCCAGTGAACTGGAGGGTGTTCCTTTCAGCCACGGTAAGCTGAGGGATTACAATGAAGCTGAAGTTCACGATGAATGAGAAAATGTTGAACTTCAAAAGCCACCTGAGAAAGTTGAAATAGGAGAGGACGCTGGTTCCGAACTTGCCTCCGATGACCTTCAGCGTCTTCTGCCATGGGCTGATGTAACTGAGGAATTCCGACAGGCTGTTCTTGGATCTCCGGTAAGCCTGGGGTCAGGATGCAAAGTGGGTGGCTTGATATTCACTCAATAAATACCTCCTGATCAGGCACCATGATAGCAAGAACGGCCACCATTTCTAGAACGGCATGATGTGCCAGGCACCATGCTAAGTACCTTTACAAAGGTTATCTCATGTAATCCTCACAACCACACTCTAAGGCAGTTCTATTATTACCTTCCCAGGTTTGCTGTTGAAGAAGGTGACATTCACAATGGCCACATTGACCAACTAACTCAGCGACTTCTTAGACCTTCCTCACAGCCACTCATTTCCCCACATCTAAACTAACCCGATGGCTCTTGCCAACAAAACAGCCCTGAATTTTGGTTCTTCTTCCCCTTGGGTCCGCTTTTACCCTCACTCTCAGCCTTCCTGGTTTTTACCCACTTGCTGTGCCCATTTTACTGACTGCAATAACGGCTGACTTACCCGTAAAACAGAGTTCAGACACTGAGCACAGCAGTCGAGCTCAAGGATACGATGGGACTGTTTACTTTTCTCTTTGTCAACTATTTTCCTGTGGGGAATGGCAGGAGAAAATGAGAGACACCAGTGCTGTTATACATTTATTCAAGAAATAGTAACTGAATGCCTGCTATGTGTCAGGCACGGTCCCAGGCTATAAGCAAAAGAAACCAATCTCCCTGGCTCGTGGAGGTGACATCCTAGTTGGAAGAGAAAGACAATAAACAATAAATATAATAATAAAATGGGTAAACCATGTAGTATATTAGAAGGTGATTTGTACTACGGGAAAGAAAAAGAAAAAACAGAGCAGGGTAGAGATGGGAAATGCTGGGGTGGGGAACATATTACAATTTGCAGTAGGTGATACCTGAGCATCACACTGTTTGAAGTTAGTTGTCTGGATAAGGGGATGGCCCATGTATAGGGAACAGACCACACAAAGCCCCAAAGGGGGGACAGAGCAGAGAGGAGGCCAGGGTGGCTGGAAAGAAATAAGCAAAGGGAAGAGAGGAGAATAGGTGATAACACGGGGTTGGGGGTGTTCCTATAAGTCTGTGGTTCTCAACCTGGGGCGATTTTCCCCCTCAGGGGACACTTAGCAATGTCTGGAGACTTTCTGGTTGTCAGACAGGGGAGGGGGAGAGGAGTACGTGTTACTGGCATCTACCAGGTAGAGGCCAACCAAGGATACTGCTAAACACCCTACAATGAACAGGATAGCCCCCACAACAAAGAAAGATCCAGCCCCCAAATGTCATTTGCACTGAGGTCAAGAAATCCTGCTGAAAGGTCTTTGGGGTGCTTCCATGAGAGAGGGAGCCATTCAGAATGTGAAATGAAAGTGTTTTTTTTTTTTTTTTCCTTTTTGTCTTTTTTCGTGTCCGGCAACGGATCGCAACCCTCAGTGTCGCGCCCGTACCGGACCGGGACCGGCCACAGGATTGCAACCCTCAGTGTTGCTCCCACACCTCGCTCAGCCAGTGAGTGGGAACCAGTCTGTATGTGGGATCTGAACCCTCGGTGGGAGCACTGCCGCGCTCCCAAGCGGCGCACTGTAGCAGTGCACCACCGGGCCGGCCCGAAATGAAAGTGTTTTGAGAGACACAATCACAGTAGGTCTTTTTATCCTTCCATGAACTCACCACATCTATTTTGTTCTGGTACTTTCCTGGCTTTATTTGGTCCACTTCAAATGCCCACCCCCATGTCAAGGCTGAGTTCAAATGCCCCCGCCTCCCCATTTTGCCCCAGCAGACTGTATCATTCCCTTCAGGTCTTTACAAGTCGCTTGTTGATATATCTATTTCTCCTGCCAGGCTTTGAAATTTATCTTTGCAACCTCAGAAAAACAGAACCGTTGAATTACTTATTAGCAATCACTACATCCAGTCTACTAGTTTTTGCCAACTATGTACTATAAATTGCTAAAAGAAAAAAAGATCAAGAACTAATAAATATGAAGTCTGAAGTCTAAAATGCCCTCACTGTTGTTTTTAAATTCCTGGGGTTAGAAAGCCCCTAAGGCCTTCCTTTTTTAAAAAAGTAAACCTTTAATTTTAGAGTAGTTTGAGATTTACAGTAAAGTTGCAAAGACAGTACGGAGAGCTTCCATATCCCACTCACCAGTTTCCCTCATTAACATGTTACATCTCCACGGTAGGTTTGTCAAAATGAAGAAACCAACATTGGTACATTACTATTCCCTAAACTCCAGATGATTCAGATTTTACTAGTTTTTCCACTGATGTCCATTTTCTATTCCAGGATCCCGTCTAGGATACTGTATTGCATTTAGTTGTCACACCTCTTTAGAATCCTCTAGTCTATGACAGTATCTTGGACTTCCCTTGTTTCTGATGACCTTGACAGTTTCAAGGGGTACTGATTGGGTATTTTGTAGAATGTGCCTTTGTTGGGATTTGCCTGATGTTTTTCTCTGGTTAGACTTGGGTTATAGGTTTTAGGAGAGAGCACCACAGAGGGGACATGCCCTTCTTGTTACAGGACTTATTGAGGGATGACTTATCAAGGGGGGGATGTTAACCTCGAGCACCTGGCCGAGGTAGTGCTAGCGAGACTTACCCACTAGAAAGTTACTTCCCCCCCTTTCCACCCTCTACTGTCTTGAAGCAAGTCACCAAGCATAGCCCGTACTCCAGCCGAGGGGGTGGGAGTTAAGCTCCCGCTCCTAGACAGAGGAGTGTCTATGTAATCCTACAGAGATTACTCAGAAAGATCTGTCTCTTCTTTTGCATTTATTTATTTCTTATCTTTTCAAGATGGGACAAAAGCAGAAGATGGAGTTTCCCATGATATCTGGGGAAGAAGAAAAGCCTTTGATTCATACCTAAGGGTCCTCTTCTCTTCCATCGTCCTTGGCTGGTTCCTGATGGCTTTAATTCTGTCTCTAGATGTCATGGGTATCAGAGATGCAATTAACTTTTGTGCTGTAGAAGAAAATAAACCAAGTTTCATTTCTTTTTCCTTGAACAGAATCATAACATTTTAAAATATGGCATCAAAGTTAGAGCATGATTTTATAAAAGCACAAGAAAAGAAAAATATATGAACCTGGGGATTCCAAAAATCACCGAGAGACCAAGAAAATATACATGTGTTAAAGCTCAAAGCCAAAGCAAATGGTAACATTTGTACTCTATTCCGATTCAGTGTTTTTCTCTTTCCCATAACAAAAACAATTAGCAAAGCCAGCAAGATCCTGCATTCTTGGTGGGTCTGTCTCTTCTCTCTTTAATACCCCAGCTTACTTCCTTTTGCCCCTGAATTCCAGGTCAAGTGCCTTCTGCACATTCCTTGACTATTGTCCTATGCTCTTCCACCTCTGAAAGGACTTCCTTCACGAATTCACATTTCTGGTTAGTGTGGCAGCTGCTGTTGGTCGCCTACCTCAAAGTCATTCATTCCCCCGCCATTGTTAATAGAATCCTGATTGTGTTTTGAAATCTTCCCCACCTGCCTCACAGGCCATGAGCTTCCTCAGGGCAGGCCATCTCCAGGCACAAGGGGCAGGTCCCATTGAGTCTAAGCCAATCCCATCAGTCCCATCCCCCTTGCAGGTGACTGGTTTCAGCACAGGCATGTGAGACAGTGCTGGCCAATGTTTTCTGATGGGTGGTCTGCTGGAAAGTTTATTGGAAAAGATTTCTTCCTTCTCCCCAAAAAAGCAAAAAACAAGAAGACAGCTCCTTTTTCCTCTGAATACTGGGTCTGCACATGATGCCTGAAACAGCCGTCACTATCTTGTCCCCGTGAGGGAAACCAGTGGGGGACTGGCTGGGGCAAAGATGAGCTGGAGATGGCTGAGAGGCAGAGGGAGCAGGCTCCTTGGTCACATCCCTGAGCTGGAACTCCTCATGAAGTGCCCTGTTCACTTTAACCGTATAGTTGAGGTAGACGGAGAGTCCCCCAAAGAAGGCCACCAAATCACACTGTGGAAGATGAGGAATTTGTGTCTCGCCTGAGGTGGAAAAAAGAATAGATGGAGAGAAAGAAAGGAGAACAGGGGAAAAGGGGAAAACACAGAGATGCAGCAAGACAGTGTGTGACAGATGACACCCCAATCTTCAATAAAGGGCTAAATCCACAAAATGCTTTGGTGTGACTGAATTTTTTCTGCTCACAGAAATCACTGAGAGCTGCTAGGCTTTCTTATTCATTTTTTGGCAGCTGGCTGGTACAGGGATCTGAACCCTTGATCCTGGCGTTATTAACACAGTACTCTAACTAGAGCTGCTAGACTTCATGGTGCAGTATTATGGGGTGAAGCAGAAACAGCTTCTCTGTTGGCCTCAGAAGCAGAGATGCTGGGAGGTCTCTGCTAAGACCTGGCTTCATGATGGATTTGGCATTAAAAGGCATCCTATTTGAAGGATGGTGGGGAGGTATGGGACCAACAAGGGACATTCCAATGGTTAAGGACTCAGGAAGACCTGCATTTGGATCCCAGATCTGCCAGGTCACTGAATTTCTCTGAACCTGTTTCCTCATCAAGCAAATAGAAATGCTTGCCTCAAAGGGGTGGAATGTGGGAAGTAAACAAAACTAAATTCAATGGGTAACATAAAGGAGGTGTTCAGCAGAGCAGCAGACACAAAAATAAGCTTGATCAGGGTCAGCTCTTGTTAGTAGGGAGGTCTCAAAGCGATCCCTTCCTTTGTCCTGAGCATCCTTAGTTCACCTAGCAAACCTTCAACATTACTTGATGTCTTATAAGTAAAAAACCCTGTGGAAAATTTGGAACCCTTCTTAGCCACCTCCCTAACTCCTCTTCCCCAGTGTTTTACTACCTTGAATGGTTTCATAGGAAGTACAAGGAGTATCTACACCCATGCATTCTGGGCTATGAAGGGTCTGAGAAAGCGACTCATTCAAAGATGTTGAAAACGGTAACAACCAGTTGCCCTTTTTGTCATTCCTCTTGCTGAAAATTTGAGAGTCTCTGGCATCGATGTCAGATATTGATGAAGCTATGCTAAAGCTTGAGTCTACCAGGGTCTTTTCTTGAGAAGTCTGATTTGAGGATGAATGGCTTTGGACACCAGATGGAGCATTCTCAATCTCTATAATGATTTCATTCACTTGGCCTTCAGATAGCATCTCTTGTCCCCTGCAAGTCTTATTCTCCACTGGGCTGGGCTTCCAAAGACCTCATACAGCAGTCACACCAGCACGGTCAGGGCTCCCCACGGAAAAGTGATGGCAGTCACAAAGGGACGCACCATTCACGTTTTTTACAAACGCCAAGATGAGATCACCAAAGTCAGCCCCATGCAGATCACAACATAACTCCTGCATCTACCCCCAGAGAGGCCTCCTCAGGACGAGTTGCATTTTTCTGCAGAGAATTCTGTCTTGGTAGCTAAGAAATCGGAAGCAGAATTCTCCATTAAAGACAATGGAATTCTAGAAACAGAAGGCAGAGATCCTTCTAAATGACTCATAATCAAAGGGAAAGATTTTCTTTTTTTTTTTTTCCTTTTTTTTTGTCTTTTTTCGTGTCCGGCAACGGATCGCAACCCTCAGTGTCGCGCCCGTACTGGACCGGGACCGGCAACGGAATCACAACCCTCGGCGCTGTGCCAACACCTCGCTCAGCCAGTGAGCGGGAACTGGTCTGTAAGTGGGATCCGAACCCTCGGCGGGAGCACACCTCGCTCAGCCAGTGAGCGGGAACTGGTCTGTGAGTGGGATCCGAACCCTCGGCGGGAGCGCCGCCGTGCTTCCCAAGTGGCGCACTGTAGCAGTGCGTGACTGGGCCGGCCCCTGAAGAGATGTTTTTAATCGTGTTATGCTCACCCTTTCATTCCACTGAGTCCTGCTTGTTTGAAAACTTCTCTGCCTGCACCAGTTTGAAGCAGGTCATGTCTGACTATGCTGTTGGAGAATCCTGACAAGTGCCATGCTTGTTTTTTTTTTTCAAATCTTTATGTGTTGCTGGGCCTTAGGGATATGAAAAAAAAAAATTGAAGATACAGGGACAAAAGATTTTAAGGGGAAAAAAAGTAATTTACTTATAAAGTTTTGCAAGGAAGATTAGAATTCAGAAGGACTGGCTCCTCAAAGAACACATAGCTATTTAGGGGATAAAACCCTCAAAATTATCAAGGTTAGATTTTATAGGCTCATGGTGGAAAGAAAATGAGCCATTTCCTAATTTGACTGTCCTACGGTATCTATTGCAAAAGCATCAGGGAAAAAGCTGTTTTTGTTAGGGGAACAGTACCTGTGGAAAAGTGTTCAAGCTTTCCTCTATTTGGGGGACTAGAGGTAGACATAGTGTCCCTGTTTTTGTCTTTGTTTTTATGCCTTTTCCCTCTCTCTTTCACTACAGGACACGATGTGATGGGGGCACTCTTACTCAAAATGGTAGTGAGTTTGCTGTCTCAGTGGAAAACTGAGCCTTTGCCTGGGAGGCAGCAAAGCCCGATTCCTTTGAATTACTAACTTAGACTGATATCCGAGAGGATTAAGTTTCCTTACCCTTTTCCATAGCTCCTCCACTTCACTTAGAAGCAGTAGTTTATTGTGACATGACTTATCAATCTGTAGTAACTAATCACTTTTATCCACTGGCATAATTTTTTTCCCTTCTTTAGCATGATTCTTCAGACACTCAGCAGCATCCCTGCTGGCTAAGCTTATGTCCACCATGTCATTTGGTTCAACGCTTGATTATATAATATTTAAAATTGACGAAATTTTAAATAGCATTTTAAAATTGATTTGTGAAAGAAGCTTCTTTCTTCAGCAAGATGAATAAGTATCTTCCATAGGTGAGTAAATAATACTATTCATTTCCTACTAAGTGAGAATGATCAACTTGAAGAGGTGAAGTGTGAATGACTGGCTGGCATTGGATTGGTTAATATTAATTTTGCCACTGGTCAACCTGGAAAGCCAGTGGTTAGGAAAGGCTTACATTACAGTCAGCCACTGAGAACTTGCCACCATTGTGTATGGCGGTTTTATCACTGCTGGTGAATTTCTCCAGGAGGCCTGTAGTTTAAAAATTAGAGAGACTGTTCCCTGGGGTCCTGAGGTATGGAGCCTGGGAAAGCCGAGCCCAGCTTGTTTAAGGTCACAAAACTAAGCCAGCAGTAGATCTGCGGGGTCAAACCCAGGTTAGTCTGAAGCCAAAGCACAAGATCTTAATCACTTCCTGTAACAAGATGCTGATACGTCATTCATTCATGAATATTTATGAATTCCTACTATGTGCCAGATCCTTCCTAGATGCATAGCATAATCCATCAAAGCTACACTTTATTAAGAGGCTGTCCATCAATTAATTGCCCATGGCTTGAGAATCAGAACAAACACAAAGCAAAATGAGGAAAGCCAGGATCATCTCCGCGTCCTCTCTTTCTTTACTTCTCTCTGCTTTTTGGAGACTCTTCTTCTGCCAGGGTCCCCAAACCTCATGGTGGCTAGTCAGAGCAGTCTTGGAAGTTCAAAGGCAGTTCTTCTCCTTGATAGTTAAAGCTATTCTCTGCTCCAGTGGGAACCACATGAAGAGTGTAATCATTGATATCCCCACTGTTTTCCTCCCAAGTAGTAGTACCCAACTCTTATGAAAGATATACACCCCCTTGAGAAGGCTCTTGAATGGTGAGGCTAATGGTTATTTTATATGCTATGGGGCTGGAAGGTGAGAGAGAATTTTAAGTCATGTGGTCCCTCAATTTGCATTGTTATATAGAGTACCCCATTAGTGTATTTCTTGTTATTCACACACTTTCTCTTTGGCTCCAGCATTTCCTAGCCTTTCTCCTCTGTTGCTTCCTTTTCATTTCTTGGTCTCTGCCTCTGATCAGACCTTCATCCCTGCACATTGAGAACCTTAGAGAGATTCCTAAAGGATTTCAAAGCCTTCTGTCTTTTCCCAATCCACTTGCTTCCATACTCTGCCATCATAATTGTATGATTAATTCAGAAAAATTCTGATCAATGCACCTCATCCCGACCAACACAGACATTAGCCACAGGATATTCAGGTAACCCAATCATGTCCTCTATGATAAAAATGATTGGTCCAAGTGTGGGCATGTGCTCCAAACAGAGCTGGTCAGAGTCTTTCCCCATCACTGATGGACAGACCCAGGGAGAAAAAAAGACTTTCTAATGAGGCTGCTAAGCTGATGGGTGTGTATGTGGGCCTGACATTGGTCATGATCTCTGGCCCATGGAAAAGGCCTGACTGTGATGGAGATGGATGAGGTCAAGCTTAAAGAGAAGCTGAATCAAGTACAGATGAAAAATAAACTAAAAACAAAATGTTGGGCATTGAACCTCTGTGGACCTGATTTTTGTAACTCATTCAGCAAATTAATCCAACAAACATCTCTAAAATACTTACTATGTGCCATGCAGTGTAGTAGGTGCTGGAAGGTATTTCTACCTTCATTTCTTTAGGTTTCCCCCATACCCTTCCCACTACATGAGCCAATAAATTCCCTTTGGGCTAATAATGCCCATTTGAGTTGGGTTTCTGTCACTTACAACCAGAAGATTCCTAATGAAGACACCTTGATGCCCAGAAGAGAAGAAAACTGCAGGTCTCAAAGAAAACCCCATTATGATAAATTAAGCAAGTACTGCATCAGTTAGCACACCAGAGGCCAAAAGGAAATGACCGTGTCTGGACTGCCTTCAATGTGTTTCTTCTCTAGGGCTGACTTTTTTGTCACTGTCCATTAAGCCTTACCTTGGGGTGACTTGTGCCAATCACATTCAGACAAAGAGGTGTTTCCACAAGCAGAGACAGGGCTACTTTCACCAACATAAGCAGGGTTCACTGGAATGAAGAGGGGAGGGACATTGTAAATTAATCCCTCCGCACAAGGTATTCCTGAGCATGTAATAGTTGTAATGTGCCCATAATGGTTAGTGATGGTTAGTAAGCACTGAGACTAAACTCTAGTAGATTAATGATTAAGAACTTCAGTGGAAAATAGGATGAAAATATAAAAACAGTGCTGTTAAATATAATCAGCTTGGATCAATGGGTTTCTTTTGTTTGTTTGTTTTCTTTCCTTACTTATTTTTATTCTTTGGATCAATGGGGTTTTTTGACTATAAGTCATGGTTAAAAATAATTTATATGCCGAGATCCAGTACACATCTATACATATACAACTGAAAAAGTTTCATAAAACAATCCTTTGCTTGAATGCATACACTGCACTCTGACATATTCTTACTCTATTCCATTTTTTCTATTTCATTTTCAAAAATTCATTTTACAACTTGTTAATGAGTTACAACCCAAAGTTTGAAAACCACTTGTCTAGGTGAATACAGAGGTTCCTCCCAGCTCTCGCATTTTGTGATGACACATGAGTAAATTTGAAATATGGCATGATTTCCTTAAGTCACAGTCCAGTCTCAGCATCTACACAATGGTGCCACATATCAATATATTTTCATTCAACTCATGATAGACATTAAAGGTAAACTCCTCAACAAAGAAGACGGAGCACATTTTGATGTGAACAAAATTACATCACATGAGGTTTTAGAACTTCCTGCCTGGGAATAATTCCCAGCCCTGTTAATCTCTAGCTGTACGCTCCCTGGTCATGTTACTTAACATCTCTGAGCTCCAATATCTTAAATAGGAGTAAAAATAGGAACTTCACATAGGATTGTTGGGGGAATCAAATCAGTTAATACATGTAAAGTGATTCAATAATCCTGGAACATAGTAAACCTTTAATATATACTAACTACTCTGGTGAATTAATTGCTGTTCAGCAAATATTAGACCTCCCCCACCATGGCCATCTCCATTGATGTTGGGCTTGGTCATGTGACTTGCTTTTACCAATGGAATATGGCAGAAATGACAGCATGCCAGTTCAAACCAAGGCTTTTAACGACATTGTATGTTTTTGCTTGCTACTTCAAGCACTTCCAGCTTATGCCATGGGAAGAAAATGCCTAAGGTAGCTCACTGATTCAAGAAGAAAGACACTAGACCTAAGCAGAACTCACATCCTGGAGCCAAGCACAGCCAAATTCAGCCTAGTTCAGCCAAACCCCAACCAATCCTGCAGATGTGTGAGTGAGAAATAAATGCTTATTTATTGCATGACTCTGGGTTTTTCGAGTTGTTGGTTATGCAGCATTCCTATGGCACTAGCTAACTGATACAACTCTTATAGTTGTTGCTATGAATTCAGTTAGCATTTCTCAAGCACCTACTATATACTACCTGGACACTGTAGTACTAGACACTGTGACACTAAGAAAATCACCTAGAGCCTTGGAGGATACATAGACTAATATGGGTTCTTCTGGGCTGGCTGGTTAGCTCATTTGGTTAGAACTGAGCTTAGAACTGAGCCTTAGA